CAATATAACTGACTGACCTGCAGCCATTTTTGTGTTATTTAATGTTGATTAGTCTACCTGTGGCAGCCCCTAAAAACATGTACAATAGGTTGCCTTCAGGCCCAGGCCTCCCTTGAAAAAGAGATCTGAGATCTCAACGGGACTTGCCTGGTTAAAGAACAGTTAATAAAAAATAAATAAAATAATGATTTTTAACTTTTAAAATATTACATGGTAAAAACAGAAGCTGCTCTTTATATTAGTGACAAACTTTGGTGTTTTTTGATGAGTTACTTTCATTTTTGCTTCTACTTTTAATTTAAAATAAGTTTCCATTCTCGGCAGGTTTCTAAGGTTCTTCTTCTACATATTTTATAAAAGTTGTTAAACATCTGAGTGGTGCACTACTGCTRCTAGTGGTGAGAAAGTGTATTGCACCTTATTCAAAATCAATGTGGTCCCACGGCCCTCTGCGGCCCAAAGTTAAAGACTGTTGTTCTTTTGAGGCCCTCAAGGTGGCGCTCTCTGATTTAAACCATTTTAGACTTTAGTTATATTGTGTATTTTCTGCAGCTCGTGTGTTTGGTGTTTTAATTGAAGACCAATCATTCCTTAAAGGAATGCAAATGTCCTGCCTCCTTTCATGATGATGATGATGATGTGAAGGAGAAAAAAAACCACATTCGCCCTTTAATTCAGCTCTGCAGCTGTCGTTTGTGCAGAATTGATCAGATTCTAGCTGTTATTTTGCTGAGAAACATTTTTCCCTGTGTTTCCTACACGTTTTCAAGCCTTTGAGAGTTCCTGCAGACTCAGGGTTCTCCTGGTTCAGTCCGGCTCATCTGCAGCTGTGGGCTCAACATTCCTCACTGAGGTTATCCACCAGTGAAAACGCAGGATGTCACTTCTCTGTTGGCTCTTCTAAAGAGTTCACAGGTCTTTGACCAGACAACAAAGTGATCAGCCCAGCTTTAGTTCTGATCCATTCTGTCCTGTGTCCAGTTAAAATGACCGTTTAAAAACAACACATTCCCACACATTAAAAATAAATAAATTCTGTAAAATATTTGTCTTTGTCCCTGGGGTGTTTTTAGCCCACAGCTGCTTCACTTTGTTTCTTCAGACTTCTAAACTTCTCCCTGTTGGTTCCATAAAAAAAACCCTGTTTTGTTTTTCTCAGGCATAGGTCGGATACAGGCCAAGTCTCTGGGGAACCTCTCCAGTCTAACAGGAGAGGACCTCCCCCTACCGGCTGGTTGGACCGTTGACTGGACCATCCGCGGTAGAAAGTACTACATCGACCACAACACCAATACTACACACTGGAGCCACCCTCTGGAGAGGGAGGGACTGCCTCCAGGGTGGGAGAAAGTGGAGTCGTCTGAGTTTGGGGTGTATTATGTGGATCACATCAACAAAAGAGCACAGTATCGACATCCATGTGCCCCCAGGTATGACATTAACGTCAGATTTTTATTTTATTTCATAAAATAAAATAGTTGCCGACATAAAAAGTCTCAATGTCAAAAAAAAGTCAGACTACTGGACGATAAAACCATTGATATATGTTACTGGATTGGGCGTGGCTAACGCGTTGTTAGCTACATGTACGTGCACACACTGGAGTTCTGTTGCATTGAGGAGCCTCAACAAAATGAATGGAGGTCAATGGACTGTGAGGTGTCTTCCTGATGAAAAACTCTTATAAAATTCTTGTTTCTTGTCCAATTTTTACAAACTTTGGTTCAAAATAAAGCTGAGGAAATTGTGAATTTTATAGTTATGGAAATTTAAAATAAATAGCTAATTTTAAATGACTAACAGTGGCTTAAAATAAGTATTTTGTGTTTCACTTGTGTTTTCTCATATAAGTCAGTGAGTTCTGACCAGCTGGGTATTCATACATATATTTATTAATCAGAACTGAGTCTTAGATATTTGTGTGTGTACTTGAAAGATGAATTTAAACATATAAACATATATTAATATACACATGTATATAGTGCTCTCTCTTTATATACAGTATACATCAGGGCTATTCAAGTAAATTGCTCAGGGGGCCACAGGTAATGCAGACCAACAGCTCAGGGTCCGAACATCCAGCAATTAAAGTGGTAACGCATTTTTTACAGTACCGTTTTAGCATGTAATTACATGGTAATAAGATGGTTAATAACTTGTAATTACACGTTATTACCATGTAATTACATGGTAATTGCATGTAATTAAAATGTTATTACAACGTAATTAAATGATAATCAAATTTTTTATTACATGTAATTACATGGTACTAACGTGTAATTACAAGTTATTAACCATCTTATTACCATGTAAATACCATGTAATTACATGCTTAAAGGGGTACTGTAAAAGAAAGCGTTACCATTAAAGTTTTTATGTAAATAAACTAAGTATTACAAAGATCTGTTAGCTTTGAAATAGTTTATTTTGCTGTATTTAATCATGAAAACATACAGAACCCTATTTAATAAATGTAGTGATGATAAAACAAACAAAAAAAGACATATTATGCCTCTTATTTACCACAAAATATTTTGACATCTCTGACTTGCCAAATTTTTAAACCAATTTTATTTTCACTTTCCTGGTTTTATCTTCATCTGCTTGTAGTTTTAACTGTCTTGGATGTTCATAGAAATGTTTTTTACCAGTTTGTAGCCAACATTCTGATGTTTCTGTAGATACCAAACATGTCTATGTTTAACTAAAATAACTTAGAGTAATTAAAGTAGAAAACTGGAGGTTTGGGCTTAAGAGATGAGTGAACCAATTTGCGGGCCGAACTTTGGTAACTCGCGGCATTAGCTCAATGCATAAAAATCCCCCTTGCGAAGCCACGCCCAGGTCACRTGACTCCCAATCCAGTGATATATATAAAAATGGATAAAACCACAGCGGCTTGGGCCGTGTGCTGACCATCCGTCCACAGAGCGAGGAACACACACCTGAGCAGACCTGAACACAGATGTAAGACTTGACCAAGAAAAAGGCTTTATGGCTACAGGGTGAAAGTTGTTTCAGTGTAGCAGTATGAACACAGCATGTGTACAGTGTACAGTGTGTCTCAGGACAGAATTAAGAGATAATCTGGCCATTTTAAAGACTGGTTCAGTGGAAAAGTTATAAACGTTGCACTTGCATGTCAAAAGTTAAAACAAGGATCTGGGACCAGTATTTACAGGGTTCCCACRGATCCTTGAAATACTTGAAAGTTTGTGAATTTGAAAAAAAAAAGATTTCAAGGCCCTGGAAAGTTTGTGAAAACAGCCAAAAATTACACTTGTCCTTGAAAGTCCTTGAATGTTTTTTGGGGATTGAAATGCTCAATTCACACGACTGATTTCCATCATCTTTTAAAAGAATAAAATATAAAATTAAATAAAAAAAACTTACATTTGTTGCGGTGGATAACAGGATTACAGTAAACTGATGTCATTGTTTCTGACTCAACAACTTCTATATTCAGTTTTTCATTGAATTTACATGATATTAAACCTGTTTATTGGTAACACTCTGCGGTAGCAGTAGGTAGTTGCCGTTGCACGTGGTTCTTTAATTTGAAGAAACTGGTACTGGAAGGTCCTTGAATTTGATGTTGACCAAGGTGTGGGACTCCAGTATTTATCAAACGTCTTAGAAGTGTTCCTGATGCTGTTAAGAATGGACTTTAGTTTGTCATCAAGCATCAGGGTCTGGCTTCACGCAGAGTTAGAACTAAATGTGAAGTCTGTCTCTGAGCTGATTTTTGTTGATCCTGAATCAGATTTCATATTCAAGAATATTCTCAGAGAAATGTTAAGATCAAATCGTGAAAATCTTGAGGTAAGTTCACATACAACACAATAATGTTGTAAAAAATGTCAGTAATAATCCAATACATTCATGTAGTAATTTAAAAACAAGAAGTTTTATTTTTGTACCACCGTTTGATAAGTCAGAAACAGGTGGTGRTGGTAACTGACAGGTTTATATAAGCTACATTTTATGATGTGATCACTGCAGCCATGGACTCTAAGAGGAAACACCAACACTTAGGACTGTGCAGTATGTGCGGTAGACGGTAGAAATGGTATGAAGTTGGCCTACGGTAGAAAATTATACTCCATCATCCTATCATTATTACGTCATCGCACCTGTGTGAACAGGGCTGCGAGTGCAGAGACAACTGAGCAGGAGTTCCAAATAAAACGAAGAAGTTAAAATGTTTTAAAACACGTATAGAGAGGATAAATCCTCAAAATTTCCTCCTCCCGCTGTAGAAAAGTTAYGTCGGGATCATTTTCTCCCTCCCTCCATGTCACGCAGAGCGAAGCTTTAACAACCGTAGTTTTTTTTCACCCAAGTTGTCGGAGAAAAAACTTGTTTTTTATGTATTGTTACCCAAAGAGATGATAAAAAAGACGTGGACGTTCGTTCAGTTGTAAATCCATCTTGCTAATGTGAAGTCAGCTTCTGCTCTGATGATGAAGATGATGAAGATGAGCGCGCAGCAGAGCAGCAGCTGATAAGTTCAGCAGGCAGAAGCTCATTGTTTGGCAGGCCGATATTAAAGCAAAAATGCTGGGTTTGATTATGATTACAGTTTTCTGCAAAAAAAAAAAAAACTCTAAAAATTACATTATCTTTACTTTTTATGATAATTTTCTACCGCCATATATACCGTTACCGTGAAGGGATTCAATTTATACCGTGATTGAGGTCATACCACCGAGCCCTACCAACACTCTTTGAGTTAGTTAAAGAAAGAAAACATTAAAAAGGAAAGTTAAACATTTGAGAGGACCTCACAAGACTTGTCTGCATCTCATGTAGCCTGCATTCACTCACCATGTCAGTGTGGAAAAACACACATCATCAAGTCCATCATTACACTGGTGTGTGTGTGATAATTTCTCCTCTGATTTCTTTTGTATTGATGTCTAACCCTATTTTCCACCTTATTTTGACTTCTTTGAACATTATAACAGAATCACACTCAGAAACTGTAACTGGCTCATTGTCTGGTCAGAACAGATAAAATTTGTAGTAATGAGTAAATGTTGTAGACGTTCAGATTCATTTCTTTGTTTTTTTAACATTTTGGCTCTAAACTACACAGAACTTCAGAGTCCATTGATAAAAACAGACCATGTACATCAGAAAGACATGTTTTAGCCTTTTAAAACCCTTAAAATGTAGGAGCTTTAAGGGGCTTCAACCCCCTGTTGCCCACCAGTCTGCTGCCCATACACCCGGCATAAAGGGTCCACGTTTCCCAAAAAAGACCCCCACAAACAGAGGAACAGAAGCAGGCCTGTAGCCCCTCACTCCTAGCTTCTGTCACTCACAGTTCACACATTATTAAGGTCTGACTTACAGTTTTCACACAGCTGCTGTTTGAGGCATACTTTTCACTCTACACCTCCTTCAGTCAGGGAGTGAGAGACACAGGTGTGTGGTTACCAAATTGACCATAATGAGCAGCAGATTTAATGTTCTGTTACTCTTCTGCAGTTTTCTGAGCTCAGATCATAACAGTGTTATGTTGCAGCAGCTGCATCAGAACCTTCAACATTTCTGCAGAAATCTTCTGCTTTTTGATCATATTTTTCTTCTGATCTGCTGATACTTCCAGTCAGGATAAATGATGTAATATTTCCTGTCAGGATAAATGATGTAATATTTCCTGTCGGGATAAATGATGTAATATTTCCAGTCAGGATAAATGATGTAATATTTCCTGTCAGGATAAATGATGTAATATTTCCAGTCGGGATAAATGATGTAATATTTCCAGTCAGGATAAATGATGTAATATTTCCAGTCAGGATAAATGATGTGATATTTCCTGTCAGGATAAATGATGTAACATTTCCAGTCGGGATAAATGATATAATATTTCCTGTCAGGATAAATGATGTAACATTTCCAGTCGGGATAAATGATGTAATATTTCCTGTCGGGATAAATGATGTAATATTTCCTGTCGGGATAAATGATGTAATATTTCCTGTCAGGATAAATGATGTAACATTTCCAGTCGGGATAAATGATGTAATATTTCCTGTCGGAATAAATGATGCAATGTTTCTTGTCGGGATAAATGATGTAATGTTTCCTGTAGGGACAAATGATGTAATGTTTCCTGTCGGGACAAATGATGTAACGTTTCCTGTTGGGATAAATGATGTAATATTTCCTGTCAGGATAAATGATGTAACATTTCCAGTCGGGATAAATGATGTAATATTTCCTGTCGGGATAAATGATGTAACGTTTCCTGTTGGGATAAATGATGTAACGTTTCCTGTCGGGACAAATGATGTAATGTTTCCTGTCGGGACAAATGATGTAACGTTTCCTGTCGGGACAAATGATGTAACGTTTCCTGTCGGGACAAATGATGTAACGTTTCCTGTCGGGATAAATGATGTAACGTTTCCTGTCGGGACAAATGATGTAACATTTCCTGTCGGGATAAATTTTCTAATATTTCCTGTCAGGATAAATGAACGCTTTTTTTCACCTAATGAACTATAAATATTATTTTTCATTCCAGTGTGCCTCGCTACGATCAGCCCCCACCACCTCCACTTCCTGTGACCTACCAGCCACGTCCAGCAGAACGGAACCAGCCGGTTCTGGTACCAGCTAACCCGTACCACACTGCCGAGATCCCCGACTGGCTGCAGGTTTACGCCCGTGCACCCCTGAAGTGAGTACTTCACACCTGAAAGACCCTTATTTATGGTAACAAACAGATCACACACAGACCAAGTTAATTATTATTAATTAATTAGTAGAATTATAGTAACTTCAAGACCATCAAGGTGAATAATGATAGCTTTGATTTGTATTTGTTACTTGAAGATTATTATTG